AGCTTTCAAGCCCATAAGGATAACCAGGGCCCTTAAAACTCCAGCATAGGCGTCAGAATGAGATCACTGACTGTTCAGGATGAACTGCCTATAAATTATCTTTTGACAAAATCAGACTGATTAAAATGAAAACAACAAATCTGGGTAGGAAGTAACCAGGAACAGAACATGAAAGTCAAGGTAGACAGTCTAAAATTTTGTGCAGGGATGACCCATTAGCACATCTTAGTTCCTTCCTCTTCACCTAAGCAAAGCTGGCCTTTCCTTGAGAATTTTCAGAGAGCAGATAGTTTTACATACCCATTAAAAAATCATTCTGTAGAAAAAAAATCAAAATGAACACTGCCCACTGAAAGGTTTGCATTAATCTTAAGCACAAGACATATTTCTTATGCTAATTCTAAGCAAGATTTAATGCTCTCTTTATACTTATAACACCTATCGACCAAAAGACAGACTTGCAGTTTTAAATACTAAGCACAAATACTAAATCAGCACCTAGAAAAACTACAGCATTAAGGATACCTGGCAGTCTGAAAATACAATATCCACAGGTGGTGTGTCTATCAACAATGAAATCTGCAGTTTTTCCAAAGAAGTCTTTTATTTCAAAGTTTAAAAATATCTCTTTTCTTTGCATTTTAAGTTCTATAAGACCCAAATAGTGGCAAAAGTGATACTTGTAACATTTTATAGCAACATGTCAAAATGTCAAGGATTAACTCAATGCTTGAATTTCTCCAATCTGATTGAAATCAGTCGTTTTCTTTCTCAGTGCTTGAGTTTCTGCTTCTAAGCAGACATGAGAAAGAAGTACAGGAAATCAGAAGAGCAAATACTGGATTTCTGATGGCAACTATAATCTTGTTTCCTTCTGAATTTATTTTTAAAAAAGTCTTCCTTTGTTTTTCTTTCTTAACACAAAATTGAAAACACGCTATAGAGTTTTTTCCTTGTTTTTTCTGCTTAACATTTTCCCATGTCTTTAAGTATTCTCCCAAATAGAATTTTCAATGGCCACAACATATGAATTCTATGGTAATACCATTTAACTATTTTCTACTTTAGAGATTTTAAATTGTTTCCAATCTTTTGCTCTTATTGCTGGGATGAAAACTATTTTGTATAATTACATTTGCATTTTCCAGTTATTTAGGATTAACTAGTAGAAGCTAATTTACTAGTTATAATAGCAAAAACATTTTTGTTGTACAAAAAAAATAGCTTTCCATAAAGATTTGAAACTTACACTTCCATCATTCCTTGAGAATGCCGATTCACTGCACATTAAAACATAACATTTTCTTTCTAAAACTGTCAATTTTATCTATTAAAAATACATCTCAATGCCTTAACTCGCATTTTTATTAGTGAGATTGAATTTTTAAATGCATATAACCTTTGCTTATGACAGCTAGAAATTTTTACTTTTTACGTCCAACCAGTCAACTTTTCCCTTTGTGACTTTTCCATTACTTTTATACTTAGAAAACTCTTTCCACTTCAACTATTGGCATGTTTTCTTTTAGTTTTTTTGTCTCCTTTTGATATCTATATTTTTAAGACACCTGGAATTGATTTTTGGTATGGCATGAGGATGATGATTTAATATCTGGTAGCAGGAGAGCCCATTAATCATTATTTCCAAAATTTTCCTGCTTATTTTTCCAGATTAACTTTTAAAATTACTTTGTTGGGTATTGCTCCCCTCACCCAAAAGCAGACAAATTTAGATCCTTCTTGAAACTACGATTAAACTAAATAAAAACCAGGAAGGATGTATAGAACAATGATCAATACCAGTGCTGCCAGGTCCTTATTTGTACCTGACTGACACAGAAATACTTCCACTAATTTGTTTACCAGTATATGGGTGGTTTTGTTTCAGACAGAGATTCTTCTTTTTTTTTAGTGTATTAAAGAATTCACCTTTCATTTTTCTTACTAAATCTTTAACTAGATACGGATTCATATTTTGCCAAATGCCTTTGCAACATCTTTTTGGGACTGTTTGTACCATTACGCTTTTTTCTTCAAGATCTCATGTATAAACAGGTTTCTTAATAGGAAGCCATCCTTTAGTTCCTGTCATAAGTCTACTCATAGCAGTGTACCTTTTTTAATATGTTGGTGATTTGAGTTGCTTTTTACATACAAATACTTCTAATCTGGGGGCTTTTCAAAGATAATTTTTTTGGATAACTATTAAAATTTCAGTGATCACTATTTCAATTAGATGTTCCATTTCTGTATTTCACTTATATTTTCCGTGAACAACATTCATTTGGAGATTTCCAAATCTGTTTCAATTTTTAAAATCTCAACTGCATTTCCTGTTTATATGACACTTTTATGTTTTCCAATCTGGCACACCTTTGATTTTCATTTTTCTTTTTGTTAGGCATCTTAAATATTTGTCCTCTCCATTTCTTGCCTTCCCTGGGTCCCCCAAGAATCAGTTCTTTGATTTACCATATCCCCTGTCTTGTGGTCTAATTTATTTTCACTTTGCTTGCAGGGTGAATCTTTAAGGTGTTTTGTGTTATCCTGTGCTTATATTAACTCAATTTGTAAAGTGTCTATTTCCATTCATACTGAGAGCCTATCTTGGGGCAGGCCGCTATGAAGTGTTATGTCTAATCATTAGCTTAATTAACTAGAAAAGTCATTGTAACCTCACTCTAATCTGCTAGAATTTTCAGAACCTATTTTAAAAATGTCGTTTATGTTTAAGAAAACAACCTGGTAAACAGATCTGGTCTTAGAAAATCAGAAAACTAGTTTGTATTGTTCCAGAAGACACTGCTCCAATGTTTTATATTATTCCTTCTCAGTACAGCATGAGCCAAACACTTCAGTATAAAATTAATTACGTTAGAGGGGCGAAACAAGATGGAATGAAGAAACAAATTGAATGTTGGAAACTATAATGTTCAATACAATGTAAACCTAATGACATAACTTTATTGAAATTAGGAAAAAATACACTTTAGAAGCCACATGTTTCTCTTTAGGAATGATAATCTGATTGTGGTGAAACTCAGTATTTGTGTAACTGCTATTCATGCATTCTTGCAATTTGCTCAGTTTTTTTTTGTTGTTGTTTTGTTTTTCTGTCTATCAGATTCCCTTGTATATTGTTACCATACTTTGGCTTGCATTTTCCTGTGTAATTTGTGTATATCTTTCAGAAATGCTGCTTAATTTCCTCCATTGTTCCCTACAAAACTCATGTGGACATTCCTATAAAAGTCCTTTCTTTTCCTTGACCTGCATTTTCTATATTATACATAAGTAGGGAGAAAAAGACTTTTCTAAGAGAAATATCTTTTACTTCTGTGATTTACCCAAGCCCATGACGACTCTATCAGTCAATAGGTGTTCTTATTCTTAAATAGAGAATATTCCACTTTATGTAGGAAGCCTCCTCAACCTACACTTTTCCTTCAGAAGTCTACATTTCCCTTCCAGTGGCCATAAGAAGTATCTGATAGATTTTTCTACATTCATTTTTGAGATATTTGGGTAAAAAGACAGGTAAGTCAGTTACATTTTCACAAAAAGGCTGACACACACACACACACACACCCTCATGGGATGGAAGGCTAGAATAACTTCTAGTACCTCACAAGCCGACTACCAGAATGACTCCAATGAGCTATGAAATTCATATTGTTAAATACATAACCACCAAGGCACAGGCAGAGGTTAAAAGTGAGATGGAAAGCACGGGGCTAGAAACATCTTACCTGCTTCCCGTCCAGCGTGCAGAGCCTCTTGACCACTCCTGAGTCCAGTTTAATGGCTTCGGTGATATCTGTTAAGACCTGTTCAAAGGAATGAGCAGTCTTCTTATTGAGAAGGATCCGCACAGCTTTCCTAGGCTTCACTCCACTTCGAATCACAGTCACTAACTTGGGTTTGATGAAATCTTTACTTTCCTTCACCTCACTCTTCACCGAGGAGGGGGCAGCCAAGGCCCGAGGGGTCCCACCTTTGATGTTCACAGACCAGTTCGGATTAACGTTTTTGGTGTAATCAACTTTACGGAACGGTTCGTTCGATGCGCACACGTAACTCTCACCTAAAAAGCAAAAATCAGTTTTATCAGCGTGGTTATTACCCCCACCACAGGGGCATTCTGTATGAAGCACAAATGCTGGAAACCCAATGAGCAAACTCCTAAACTTAACAGGTTTGGCATTCTTCCCACACCCCGTTCTTTTAATAGCATCCAGGTTAGTTTTGAGAGAATAGCGTGCATTACAGAGTGAAATGCACTGGGCAAAGAAACTAGAAAGAATCTGGGTTTTATTCTGATCAAATGTCACCCTGGATAAGCCCCCTGCATTCTGCTTCTCTACATCATCGTCTGTCAAGTTGGAGCTGTTGAACCAGGTGAATTCCGAGGCACTCCCTAGTTCCGAAAGTCCATTAAGTAATTTAATTGTTACTGTCTCATTCTGGGAGAAGTAACTCTATCACAAAACAATATATTCACATAAAGAAATAAAACATTTTCTCCTCTTTCCAACTAGACATTTCAGTCCTAATCAAAGAAAAATCACTACAAAATTCACATAGCTGACTAAATTCTATTCAGTTACATGATCATGTACAAAATTACTGAAGCACTGCAAAAACGAAGGAAGAGTTTTGACAGCTCAAAGAAACAAACCTCAAGCATTATTTTTTCCTAATTGAAGAATGTGAATTTAAAATAATTAAATGGACAGTCTCTTCTATAATGGCTTATATGGGGAAGGATATTAAGTAAAGTGATGTGTTCACTACTCACGTAGCCTTCTTAATTTTTACTAAACATAAAAACTATACTATTTGTCAATTGGTTAAATGATTCAATGTTCATTAAGTTCTAAAAGTATATGTTGAAAAATAATAATTTTCATAAATATATGTCAGAAAAAAAATCACGATTTTTCTTTCAGGAAACTCAGACGTCACCCAATTCTTTGAGTCTCAACTTTCTGGCACAGAAGATAAAGGAGCTGCACTCTAAGATTTTCTCTAAGGTATCCTGTAACTCAAAAAGAATCCATTATTTTTTCACATCTTCAGTATGATGGCCTCCTTCTTAATACAGTACACGGTACAAGCCTTAAATGCTAAAAGCAAAACAAAAACAAAAACAACAAAAACAAAAACCCAACATAGTGAAAGGGAATTCTTGAGAAAAGCCTGTTAATACAAATATTGTATTTAACTATTATCAGGCTATTCTTGAAATCCTGATTAATGGAGAACTTAAAGACTCCCAAAGGCACATGGACAATTCAGTAACGGGTCAGACATATAAGAAGGATCTGAAAAGAGGAGTGGTGTCTTCTGTTTAAAGGTGTAACATTCCCAAGCAATGTAGGGAGCCAGTCACAGGCTTTAATGCTGCCTCTACGTCAATAATGTGAAATCTAGCCCAACCATCACCATTCAGTTAGAGATTATTCAGTTCTGTACACAGAGTTTTTCACAGTGTAATCATCTGGGAAAATGGCATGTAATTTTAAAAGTACGTATAAATTTCACAAAACAGAACTACACATCGCATGCATGTACTAATGAGCTAAAGTAAATCATAATGGTTTTGCTTTAATTGTATAGAGAAAACCACTCTCACGTTGAAAAGCTCTTACTATTTTTACCTATGCTGAAAATCCCACTGTGTTTTGATCCAAAATTTTAACATGGAAGATAAACATGGAATCTCAGCAACAAGTAAACTTTTTTTTTTTTTTAAGGCCAGGGAGAGTCAGCTGGGGGAAAGCCTTTCCCAGTATAAAGAGAAATGACAATGGCAATACAAGAGCAAATTTAATACATCAGGTTACCTGGACCAACCCCGTCCCTGCAAAAGTGGCAGATCAGCCAGGAGAGCTGCCTTTTACATTTGTCTGTATTTTGCCTCTTTACATGGGCTCAGCATGTCAGAACGAAAACAGGCATAGGAAGCCTCTCTTTTCATTTGTTTGCATGTGGTTACAGAAAAACTTTAACTCCCTTCCTCTCTTCATAAAAATGCTTTCATTAAAACCTTGTAGATCAATCCTATAATAAACATGGAAAGTTTTGAACCAGGGCTGGCAAGTGCCTGCTTGACAGAGCCTCACCCTTTCCTGCACCTAAAAGCAGACACAAATGCTAGTTAAGTACAAACAGAGTACTCTTCTGTTAAGCCCAGACTCCCACCTCACAGCCTGCACTGAGTCCCTGCTATGCGTCAGCTCACGTGCTAGGTGCTGACATGACGTGAGACCCACCTTGGCACTCAACATTTCAGCACGAAGTTTCGAGACATGGTTCTGAGGTCAGACCTGTGTTTCTGTACACTGGGCACATAAATCCATACAGTACAGATGTCAGACCATGGTAACAGGAGTCACCAAGATCCCCAGGCCAGCTTCCCGTGCTACACTGTCGCCCTACCCCCACCATCAAACAATCTCCTGATTAAGATTTTGTTATTTACATGGATTTGTCTACATGGAGAGAATATGCTGATAAAACAAGTTAACCCTAACCCTAATGCCATTTGCAGCAACATGGATGCTCCTGGAGAATGTCATTCTAAGTGAAGTAAGCCAAAAAGAGAAAGAAAAATACCATATGAGATCGCTCATATGTGGAATCTAAAAAAAAAAAAACACAAAGCATAAATACAAAACAGAAATAGACTCACAGACATAGAATACAAGCTTGTGGTTGCCAGGGTGGCGGAGGGAGGGAAGGGATAGACTGGGATTTCAAAATTGTAGAATAGATAAACAAGATTATACAGTATAGCACAGGGAAATAAATATAAAATTTTATGGTAGCTCACGGAGAAAAAAATGTGACAATGAATATATATATGTTCATGTATAACTGAAAAATTGTGCTCTACACTGGAATTTGATACAGCATTGTAAAATGATTATAAATCAATAAAAAACATTAAAAAACAAAACAAACAAACAAAACAAGTTAAGGTTTGGGTTCCTTAGGCAGTTACAGCTCTTGCTGTTAATCAATCAATAAATTGTTATTTTTTGTTAGACACTCGGCACCTACAAGATTGACTGAGAGCAGTTAGTCTCTCCCCAACCAGATTCATTCACTGTAGGGATTCTTGTTTAAGATTTATTCCCCACCTGCCAACTTGTCACTTCTCCCCCCAGTCCTGGTGAGGAGCATCACTTCCTACTCACACGCCTCAGCTAGGAACCGTCACCCCTCACCCTCCCGGCGGCTTCCCTACACACCATGCTCTGGTCTCACGTTCTGTCCACTCCATCTTCCAAGTTTTCCTAAAACTGCCCCTCCTCTCTGCCCTCAATGGCACCCACTTCCACCTGGATCAATGCAAGAGTCTTCTGTTCTCTGCTCACTCCCCAGAGGGAGAACAGGTTTCCCAAATGGTAGTGCATTTTCTGCTACTGAGACAGCTGAAAAAGTATATCCTGAAGTCATGAGTCTTGATATATTGATGAAATATTACGTGATGAGAGAATTTTTTAAACTCTTACCAATACTCATTAAAACTGCACCCACCAGAACAAGGAAAGGAATAAACATCTCATTTAAAAATGAGAGTTAAAGATACAACTGTATGTATCTATATAAACATCATATATGGATACAGGAAAAATAAAGCAGTCCTCGAGGTCCCAAATTGATCTGACATTCACAGCTAGATCCTGATGCCACTACAAGCTGGTCTGATGCTCACAGTCAGATCTGTGTTCTTCTCTGGATATCATCTCATAGAATATCTATAGCAAATGAAGTCACTCTGAGACTATGATCAAGTGACACAAAAACAAACTCCTTCAACGAGTGGCTGCCACTTCTTAACCAATTATAGATTTTTCCTCACTCTGGTCTGCCCTCCCTGTGAATAAGATTTAATGAGATACTCAATCACAGAATTGTCCTCCTCTGACAGCACCCAATACAGAATGAGTCCCTGCTTCCTTAGAGCCTCCTTGAAATTATCCAAAGCCCCACTCCTCTGATAGCTCTGACACCCTCTTACCAGATGCCCCGAGGCATCCTCTAACATCCATGCGTCCCTGCTGCAGGGAGGGGTAAACTCAGCCTGTCCAGCTCTAGGTCTGCTCTTGGTGGTCTCTGGCTGAAGGCAGTTGAGATACACATGCACACACATACATATTTCACTTCTCTCTGTGTGTGTTTCTAATAACAGTTCTTCGACCATAAGACATCGGTGGGAAATCATTTTGGAAGTTATGATCTATAGTTATAGAATACTATACAGAAAAGGATGTGTACTACAGAGAACAAACCAGAGAGGAGGGCAGTGGCGGGGGGGCAAATGGGCGAAGAGGATTAAGAGTTACAAACTACAAGTTATAAAATAAGTCGTATAGAATATAGTCAATATTTTATGATAACTTTGTATGGTGTGTAATCTATAAAAATATCAAATCACTGTCATGCATCTGAAACTAACACTGTTAGTCAATCAGATAAACAAGTTTATATTGTATAACACAGAGAACTATATTCAATATCTTGTAGTAACTTATGGTTACAAAGAATATGAAAATTATTATATGTAGGTTTCTACATGACTGAAGTATTGTGCTGTATGCCAGAAACTGACACAACATTGTAAAATGACTATACTTCAGTAAAAATATTTTTAAAAATTAAATGAAAAAAATACTGTTAGTCAACTATAGTCCAATAATCTTTTTTTTTAAAGAGGATTCGTTTTCTATATAGAAGGAGGCTGGAGAGAAGCATGAAGCGGTTATGCACCTCAACTGTTCTCAAACACAGTACGGAATAGAAAGTCTGTCCACTTCCTTGGACTCTCTCCAGCAGCATCGCTTTGGCTTCTTACCACCGACATCTGTTCCAAGACATTCTGCATTACTTCCTATGCAGCAGATGGACAGGCTAAGTGTCTACAACTGTGTCCTACAGTCTGGGTACTTGTTACCCATTAATTTTCGTCCTTACTCAACCAAACTGCCTCCTGTTTAAGAGGCAAGAGGCTATTAAAAGCTAGGAATTCTCCCAATTTCTTGTTCTCTGAAAACCTTCATCCCTACAGATATATTTCAGTCTGTGCCAGCTTCCTCACCTCCTCTCTTTTTTCGCTGACAAGGGTACCCTCCCCCTAGTCAATGCCAGGTCCCTCCCCCAGCCAATGCCAGGTCCTTCCCGCTCCTCATGCTGAGTTCTGGGGACACTCTTCTCCTCTCCTATGTTCAGCTACACAGCCCTCTACAGGGTTATGTACAAGTGTCTCCACCTTCACACACACAATCCCCTCCTTCAGTCCTCGCTCCACTCTACCTAATGTGCTTTTGGCGTGCATTCACTGCCAAGTTAGGGAGCCTCCTCGTCTGGTTTTTTCCATTTCCTCGCCCACTCTTCGTCCTCAGCCACTGCGGCATCACCTTCGCTCCCTGCACTCCCCTGGCTGAAACACTCTGATGCCCGAGCATGTCCC